TTTTGGGCGGGAATTAAACGCAAAGTTCTGATTGGTTAACGGGCCACGCTCAGCTGTCAATCTTCTTTTGTTGAAACGTCGAACTTTCCAGAAATTCAAATAGTTCTCACGGCTCGTGGCCAGATTACAAAATCGCCGGTAGCCTCAAGGGGGTAGCGTCTGGGTGTCCATTCATCCATTACGCCGGTGACGTAATCTTCATAGACGCTGACCACGGGTCAACCTACCGCCCCCGCTCCTACGGCGGTTTCTGGTTTGATAACAAAAGACCGAACAGTAGTCACGCGGTTGGATTACGGGCACAGTTGAACACGTGTTGAAAGGTCATGAAATTATGGAAATTTCAACGATACAACTCAGTTTGACACGAAATCTCTTTTCGAAAAAACAACGTGATGGCGTTGAAATGGCTTTTTTTTTTTTATTGTTTACATTTTTTTGGTAAGTGTTTTCGGAGACGAAAAAGTAGAGACGCATCACTCCTCGATTTCGGCGTGATTGGGGTCAGGCATCCGGTGAAAGTTTCACACTGTACAAACTAATAGTCTGTTCCTTACAACCCAGGAATCGCCGTATTGTTTTCATAGAAAATTAATCAAGGGGGTTTGTCTGAATGGGTTTTAAACACCATTTCTCTTTCTTTACCGTCACGTCAAACCCGCATCCACACATGAGTCAGAACATTCTGGTAATTCTAGTCAATATTTGGATTCAAAATTCAAAACATACCTTACTGTATGTTCCCTTTCGGTCGGTATAATTATTGGCCTGTCTATGTCACGTCCCCTCTTCTTATTCCTGGATGCATCTCATTGCATTAGTGCGCTCAATGTGAGAAAATCTTTTCTATTCTTCTTCTTCTACAACTTTTTCATAGTCATTTTCTTCTTGTTCTTGTTCTTGTTCTTGTTCTTGTTCTTGTTCTTGTTCTTGTTCTTGTTCTTTTTATCGCGTGTGCTGTTGGTGGGTGCTCTGGTGTGATTTACTCCTTCTTTCCTATCAAGCACCTATGATCCCTATCATTCCTCCCCTCCTTTTTTTTGTAGATGTAACTCTCTTGTAACTCATCTATTCTTCAT